CTCATCTAATTATTTCTGGATTTGAAATGGATTAAAAAAAAACTAATAGTGTAATCAAATATGCTGAACATGATACTTGCAAAAAATGTAAAATCATTTTTATATGCATAATGCAGATTAAATCATTAATTTAATGAGGCAAATTCACTTCGAGCGTTGTGATATAAAAGTGATAAATGAATTTAGCGACATGCAGTAATGAAAATATTTTTGGCTCGTCTATTCAGTCACTTATATAAGCAGTAAGAATGTTCAATTTGTGACTCACGCTGTGTTACAAACGACATTTTGGAGTAATTAGAATGCACATTATTGTGCATGTGTATGTAATTGAATGAAAAAGCAAATGTTTACGCTAATTGCCGTAGGAAAACGAATATTACCGAAGCATTGGTAAATGGAGATATCGATAATCAGACTTGTAATTTTTGGAAAATAAGACTTATGAGGTAAATTTCATCAATAGTAATGAAATTTATTTCATAAGTCTTATCGAGATTGCTTTCAAGACAGTTATACTTTCGAAGAGTGAATGTGAGATAACTGTACTGAGGTTCAAGCATATTTTCATTAATTAAATTAAGAAGTGCATTTTTATCAACGAGAAATAACTTTTTTTTTTCTTAGCATAAAAATTTATTACTATGGAATATGTTGAGTTGTCAAGAAAGCATTTTCTGCGTTTTTCCGATTATATGAATCCGGAATAATGGAATTAAATGATGGAATTGGACGTTTGGTATGGTTGGGAATATTTGAATTTAAAATATGAAATGATGTCCAAAAATCGAAGATGATCATATTATTACTCAATTTGGAAAAAAAATCGAACGCATAATACCGATCATAATGATTATTATCACCTGTTTATGAATATCAGCTTTAATCTGATTGGACTAATTTGAAATACTTGTTGATGATTGTAGATATATAATTAATTTTTTAGAAATTTTTTTCGAAAAATATTTTTATTCTGAACTATAAAATGAATCATCTATCTTTCTCCTCACTTTTATTAACATTATATTTATTGTTGGATAAATATAATGTTGTTGAATAAATTGTTGAATAAATATATTATACAATAAATATATTGTATTTCGTTTTACTTCATATTCCATAATTTATAGGGTAATAGCGAGTAATAGTGTTAATAAAGTAATAGTCTCGTTAATTTTGCTAATTTTTCCAGTCTTTTCTAATTTTCCTCCTACTTCATTTACTTTTTCATTAATTTATTTCTACATGGAAATGATATAATTGATAAAATTTCCAATCTCACCTTTCACTGAGAAAGGAAATTTTACTATTAATGTGTCATCAAATATGTATATGTGTTTATGTGTATGTGTTTTGAATATACTTAAAATGAAATGAATTTAAATATTGCTCTAAAAATAGTAGCAATTCTCTCTTCAATATATTGTTGAAATTATCATCATCTGATGAGATTTTTGTAAAAAACTTAAGAATTGTTTAGATCCAGCTGAAACGATGCGTTCAGTTCTTTTAAAATGTAGAAAAGGTAAAGAAGGATAGTATTTAGGTAAATAAGCAAACATTTTGTTGATTTTTTTTACTCTAACAATAGTAATAAACGTTCTCTTTTACTCTAACAATAATAGTAAACATTCTCTTTTATGCTAGCAATAGTAATAAACATTCCTTTTCACTCTAACAATAATAATAAACATTTTTTCACTCTATCAGTAATAGTAAACATTCTTTTACCTGAAAATAGCAATAAGTATTATTTTATTCAACTGGTAGCAATAAAATTTGCCTGTATATGGAATGATTTTATCGGTTGCTATGTGAATTAAGTTGCTAAGGTGCATTATATATTAGCAAATTGCTAAGAAGCAATAAACATTAAATTATTTCATCTTTTTGTCCTACCATATTTTATTTTACTCTTATCTTTCCGCGCCTTATAATCAAAGAAACATTTTTATTTCAAATTTTCATTCATTTCATCTCATTTCATCTCATTTCATTTCCATTTCATTTCCATTTCATTTCCATTTCATTTCCTTTTTTTTCTTTTTTTTTCTGAGATATGGAAGCTAATTTTTTTATTGAAATTCAATATCATCAAACAAGCGGGTAGCTGAAATTGTAGGAATAAAGAAAGTGCACAAACAATTGCGAATTCCCGGTTATCCACTATGAATTCAAATCATTCAGTCTCGTTATTATTATTATTTTGCTCTGTTTCCTTCTCAGGCCATTAATTTTGTATCTGTTAAGATATTTCCGGCAGGATTTATTGTTTTAGATTGATTATTCCAATTTAGTATTTAATGTATTTATTTCAACAACAAATGCTTTATGAGCTTTGTGAATAAATTCCTATCAGTATTGGAGAATTATTAAAATATAGCATCTTTCTGAAATAAATTCATTATTTTGAAATTGCCTTTTAAACATGCAATACAATATAGCCTATTGGAGTGATTCGATTTTTCTTATCGGGAAGTTTTATCAGAATATTTTTACTCCCCTTTCAAATATGATTAACAACCATCGTATAATTATTATTCATAAATATTGATTCATTTCAGTAAATAAGCAAACCAATGACAGAAGACGATAATGACGAAAAGAACGATAACACTGAGAAACTATGCTTTATGGAATTTTTGCGTATCACAGAGCAGCATGAAACTAAAGAAATATTCTCAAATAATGCTCAAAATTCAAGTGATTTATCAAAGTTTGTTAAATTTCAATTAATTAACATATCGCTGTTTAACAATGAGTCATTTACCAACTAAATAAAGAGGTTTTTTTTCAAGGCCTAAATGACTGTAGTAATGATAAAATGAGTTCAAAAATAATAGCAACCATTGCAATTCTTTTATGCTATCATTTTTCTCCTCATTTTCAGTTTTCTTCCTTCATTTATTCAAGATAATTTCAGATTATTATTTAACTAAAAAAAAAAGAAGGAGAAAAAAAGAAAAAATAAAAAATCTATAAATTATTCTTTGCCATTTTTTTTTGATTATAATAAATTTGTAAAATTTAGGAAAAAAATTTGATCGCACGTTTGAAGGAAATAAGTTAAAACGATTATTAAATATTTGTCACATTAATCAATAGAATTTTTTTAATTTAATTTAAATTTCATCTTTTTTTTTACTCATGCTTAGTAAAAGTTACCGTTTGCAAAATTTCAGGAAACGAGTGCACGTTGGCATTTTGAGTAGTTCGAAGTCACTTCCACTAATAAAACTAAAGGTTTTATTTAAAAATTTTTTTCGAAAAAAAAGAGTATTTAAATGAAATAGCCGGGAAGGAATGCAAATAATTTTGATCCGTTGAATAAATTAAATGAAATAACTGGACGAAATTTATAATGAAATTCATCATTACTATCTTTCAAGCAAACAGACGGAAAGAAAACGTTTTAATTCCTTATTGATTTTCTGCTTCGTAAATATACCTATCATAACGAGTTTTTTATTCCATGAAAATCATTTAAAAAATTACATTTTATGAAGAAGAGTATATTTCAGAAATATTTTAAAAATTTGAAGGCTCTAAATTATGAAATGTTATAATTTATAAATAGATTTAATCAGTTAGGAAAATTATAAATTAGAAGTTAATTTTTTCTTAGAAAAACCTAACCAAAATTATTCACTTATAGTAAAGAGATGAAAGTAATTGGTATCATAAATGGTTCTCAAAGAATGATAATGATATCGAAAAAAATATCATTTAAATTGTAATATTTGGTAATATATTTTTCATCAAAGAACAATTGAAGAAATTAAAACTCACTTTGCTTAATCATTTTTACTATAAATTATTGCTATTTATTTTAGAGAAATGAAAGCAAAAGTATGAACGACGAAATAGATGATAGCACTCCATGTACATTCTATGAAGCAATATCAAATTCCAATCAGTCAACTGATAAAAGTCGAGAACCCATTGTATCAGAGCTTGCGGGACCATCGACAATATCCACTTTACCACGCATTCTTCGAGCTTCAAGACGATGGGACAAAAAAGCTTGTTATTCATTGGATTCTCCACCAAAACAGGTTCATATATTTCTTTTAAAAAAAATTACTATCTGATTCTGTTTGAAAACATCAGACATAAATTTTTTTTTCCGAAATGTTAAAAATTTACTTTAATTGTAATTAAAAAGTTGACTGAAAAAAAACGACAAATGATCGCCGTAGATATTTATGATATCTAAAATGAATAGTAAATACAATCTATAAATTTTGTCACACGCTTCGCAACCGTAAATGCTAATTTTTACTATAAAATTATCAAGTTTTGGATTAAAAAAAAACTTTGGATGTAACGCTGAACCAAAGCTATGACTATCTTCTTCCTTACTCTTTCTTATAGCATTAGAATTTAAATTCCTTCTCTCGATTACTTGAATATCAATGGAACATATACTTTTATTCTCACTTTGCCAAAATGAGAGTAATTTTCTCCATATAATGAACTGTCACCTACTCCTTTATAAAGCTTGTTGACAAACAAACTATCCCTCATTACGAAATACATTTAACAAGGACAAAAAATGACAAACTGATGATATAGAAATGAGTTATCTCCTCCGTGAAGTTATCGTTTTTCTATAAAAATAAAAATAAATAGAAATACTTGTAACCAGTAAAATTATTTTTTACCATAAAATAATGTAAAATCATTTTTTCTTGTCTGTTTGATGTACGATAATGTAGAAATGATATAATTTCAGATTTTGGATGATATCAAAACAACCTTTCATTCTGATTTATTACAAATGCCAACCATTTGCTCTTCATTGATCGAATCAAATAAACATAGTAAAAAGGCTAATAATTATGAAAATAACGCCGAAAATAATTTGAAGCTTAAACGATAGCTCCCATTTTGTAAAAGCTATTTTGACTTAATTGTATATTGGAATAGCTGAAATTTTGATCCTTGAATATTAGCGATCACTTAAGTTAAAAATATTCGTCTAACTTCTATGGAGCTAATTGTTAGCTGTTCCTATTAGCATTCCTGCTTTTTCCAATTCCATTACCTTCATATTTTCACTGACCACTCTTATTTTCAAATAATTTAAAAGCATCATGCACAGGTTGTATATGATAGTGCAAATGTAGTATATAAAGAAAATCTTCCCCCTAACTCAGGAATATGCGATCGGTTTATCTCAATTAACATAAAGAATGTATGTGTCATCCGTTATGCATTTGGTACATAACTGATTGAGATTTTATACTAATTAAATGTCACACATGTTTATATACTACCATCCTGATTAACCAGATATATATAAAATACCTCTTGTACTTTATACACTAGGATCTAATTAGTCAGGTATATAAAACATCCTTTGTATTTTATATACTAGCTAGCATATGATTAGCCGCTCTCTTTATCCAGCAAAAAATGCAACAAACTATGTTTTTTTTGATATAATAATTAACATATCTAGTTCAACCTTGTATTCGCTTTATTTATTACTGAATAACGAATAACGACTAACAGCATTAAAACAAAATTTTGGATAAATAAGAACAATAATACTGAATGTATATATCACGATCAATTAATTTTGAAAACATGCTTAAATGACTAGAAAGACGTCAGATTCATTAACGTTTAACTTTATAGTATGATAGGAATAAAAGATACGATGGGCAAAATAGTCGATGATGACTGAATTAGTCGAATTCATTACTTTAAGATTCACTTTCCAAAATTTGTCTCTGAGTGATCATTAAATCAAATGAATTTGGAAATCTTCAATTTTCGCATCTTTGGAAACTTCTAATTCTTTAAACATCAGTTTAAATGCTTTTAAAGTTCAAATCAATAATTTATGATTTTTTGAACCACTTTGGTAGATTTTCTACGGGTCGTTGCTTCAATTTAGAGGGGCCTGCATCACTTTCTATTGATTTCGATTGACGTTTTCCATTTGGTCGAACATCTTCAACATTTATCACTTTTGGAACGTACGGTTGATAAGTACTGTTTACCGATAACCTGAATAAGAAGGAAAATGATAAACAAATAAATCAAAGAATTCACTTACTGAAGAAGAAAATGAAAAGACTCCACCAAAAAAAATTTACACAGTTTGCGTTCTGTCTTAATAATAATAACTGTATGAAAGAGAGTTAATATTGACAAGAACTGTATGAAAGAGAATTAATGATTGATAAGAACTTTATGAAAGAGGCAAAATCAAATTGCGCACAAACCGCTATTGCAAAACATACCATTCTCGGCTGAGCTCATCAGCTTCCGCCATGGGAACTTCACAGAATTTATCCCGCACAAAATTAGCATCTGAAAAAAGGAAAGTTAAAATTTGGTAAAAATTTGAAAAATTTTTGTCGCTATATCTAATCATCACCAGTAGCAGGTAAGAATTTATAGTTTAGTTTAACAATTGTAACGATAACTTTTTTGAAATGCAACTGTCTGTATCACAGCATCGCTGTGCTGGTTCATCGTGACTACTGATATCTCTCACAATGGTACTAAAAGCTTAATGGTCGGATTTTTTATTGTTATATCATTAGATAACAAGAAATTACCAAATGTATTTTCCGGTGAATGAAATCGTATATACAGTACAGATTTCGGAGCAATACCAACTTCAATTAAATTTTTTAAAGTGGTTGACGAAAGTCTTTGATTTGCAAGACACAGATCAAATTTTACCGCTGAATTTTCCAAATTTTCCATTATGAACTCAAACAATCTTGACACTGAAATACATTTGTTTATCTTATATTAAATCACAACAACACTAAAATGACTATTTTCAATCGTTGATAGAAAAAGGACATTTTGAACTAAATATAATCCAAAATTCATTTTAATGTGAAATTTCAAATATCATATAATCATAAGAATATCATATAAAAGATATCATATAATCATAAGAATATCATATAAAAGATATCATATAATCATAAGAATAACCGGGTTCTCGTGAGATAAACTGAGCTTGTATAACCGTTTTATCAGCACAATTGAATCGTACTACAGTATGTTTGTAACTTTCTTCTTTTCGGCGCTTATTCTTTTCAGTGACATATGTGTTCGGTATTAAAGCTCTTTGCTCCTGTATACCTCTAAAAATTTCATTCATCAAAATAAATTTATATGCTCATTCTTCAAAATATGTAAGAATCTAATATGATTTTACTGACAACTCAGCAGAATAACTGCTTCCACCTCAACCTCAATTAACAGTATTTTGCCATTTAAGTCCACAAGACGCTCATAAATTTATCAAGAAATAAAATAGTTCACTTGATATCGATTCAAACTTATTGTTTCTTCATAAATTTTCAACAATTTCTAAATCAATAATTTGACTCAACCCTTTTGCTATAACAACTTGCTGGAAGCTACACCATCAACATTAAACAATTGGTAATTGGTAAGACTACTTTTATTTATTTGAAAAACAAACGCTTCTGCTATAAGATCTCGACGAATACTCTGTACATCGTTGACCGTAAGTTCGAAAAATTGATCATCAATATCATCGTGCTTTCCGACTACATCTCTTACACTTTCATTCAATTCCAAATCTTGCTTTATGATAACCGGCATTCGGTTACATTTTTCAATAGTTAAACATGACACTTCGGAGGAGGATGTAATGGAGTTGCAAATATTACTCTGTAACATTTTTCAATAAAAGAATAAAGAGGAAATTTTTGCCTAAACTTTTATCATTCGAACACCGTCACTATTAGAACTGCGAGATTATTGGAAAAATACGCTATTATAGTTCTTAGTTTACTTCGTCATGTACTTTTTTTCTCATTTATATATTTGAAGTTGGTCAATTAAATAAGCAAAGGTAGTCAAATGAGCTTGTACAATGATAATTAACAGTGGAAAAATAGTTTCGTAATAGTAGTTCCCAGTTTTTAAAACCAGCTGTGCATCCAAATTAGTTTTTTTCTTTTCAGTCTGAGGTGAACATCAAAAACTCACACTATCGTGCGCTCGTGCCGCAGTCTGTAAGTCACTAATATGTATTCTGCCATCATCTCCAATAAGCTGTTCACCAGGAAAATCAACTCTATTTGTAGCTAAACTGATATTTACCTGCAGAGAACAAATACAAATCATTAAAGTCTGAAGCATTTTTTGATCATTCTTGTTAGAAATTTTTTACTATCTTCTTGCTTTTTCAATAGTTTATATTTATTCTTTCAATAGTTATGGGGCATAGCTCATGAATATATAAACTAGTGAATTACGTGAAGATGAAAGATTTCAAGTATCTCGTAAGAAAAAGCTTAAAATAGGCGCGTTAGTAACGAAATATAATTTAAAAACAAAATAATCTAAAGAGAACAAGTAGTATAAGGTAATGACAGATCTTTCAATTAACATATTCAAACCCAAATGCTTATAAAATATAACAAGCCATGCGGACCAAGTTTGCACTTAAATTAAAGCAATCATTGAAGTGATAACTAAATCAAAGCAATCATTGAAGTGATAACTAACTAAATCAACCCAATTTTATGGACTCTTGCTAATTTTCAGCAAATGAAGATTCGTCAAAAAATTGAAGTGATCGTGTTCAGATCTTTGAAATTTCTACACTATTAATAAACGAATAAAGACAAATTGAAAAAAAGTACTTGATTAAGGATAGACTGTAGTTGATTGAGACGTGATGAAGGTTGAGGCCACCTTTGAGACTCGACAACATGTCCTACTGCAGCTTGAGATAGACCTCCTGATGGTATAGTATGAAGTGCGGTTTCAAGATTGCTGCAAGTGATATGAGTGACTCAAAATATCTCGGCACCGACAAGTTGCTATTACTGATAGTCAAAAAGAGAAAATAATGAATACAACCCTATCATTTAAGACGAAAAGAACTAGAATTGATTAATGATCCAAGCTTCTTGCCTGCTAGCTTCTTGACTGCGCTCTAATAAAAGAGCTGCCTCGGCTTCACGTTTCACTTTTAGTTCGCGTTCAAAAATCTAAAACAAAAAGGAAATTATAAAAAATGCATGACTGTCTATGAAAAGGATGATAAAATCGTTACATTACTTTTTAAAAATATTTCTGCTGCATAAAATTAAAATAGATTATAATCAAGGAAGAATAAGAATAGTTATTTAGAGCCACGGATTTTATATGTGTTACACCTGAAACGTTCAAGCAAAGGAGATTAAATTTCACAAATAACTAACTGATATTGCACAATCTATCTATAAGTCCCATATTTTCCTCATTCTTATAATGACTTCTCAGTTGGAACTAATTGCAATAGGTGCAAAAATTTTCCAAATGTTTTCAAGCATATATTCAAATATAAAATTGATTTTCCTGGCGATCACAGAGGATCTCCTTACTTATCAAGAACCACTACCGATAACAAAAAAGCTCTTTTCTATAAAACAGTACCTCTTCCCTTTCGTTTTCTAACTGCAATCGACGTTCATTTTCCGTTTTACGTGTTTCATACACTTTTTCTAGCTTTTTCTTCCGTTTATATTCTTCAGCAAGGCGATTTTCGAGTTTCAGTATTTCATCCCGTGACATATTAACTGGGTAATATCTAAAAATTTCCGCTGCACTGATTAGCAATCTTTCGAACTGAAAATATATTAGTTCATGCTTCAGTGATAAATGTATGAAACAGAATAGCTTAATGTAAAACGGTGCATTTATTATCCTGATCCTGATACCACGAAAGAAAAGTGATAATTCAAGTAGCACTACCAGATACTTGAAGTATTATATCAATGTATTCATAAAGGTAAAACTGTAAATGATAATGAATTACCTAATCAAACAGCGTCCTCCTGTTATTCCCATTGCTTCCAAAGTAGTCAACTTAAGTTCCACTTCTCCTCGATACTATAAAATATGAAATGACATAAGTTGTACAGTATAAGTAAGATACAGTTGGATACTACCTTGAAGTCCAAATCAATAATAGACTCCAAACCAAAGAAAAAAGAAAATTTTGTGATATCGAACTCGGTTCACACAACAACGAAAGTATTGTTCTTTCAAAAAAGGCATCTCAGAAACATCAGACACAGTAAGATCGCCGATATTATTCGATATTCAACACTCAAAATACCACACACCTCTTTATTCATATAGGCACAACATGGTACTTGACCTTCGGTACATTTTATCAAGTCCTGAGATGATGACTGGGAGAATTCATGTAAGACATCCAGCAAGTTTACTTTACTCGAA